TGTGGAGTCATTAACTTTCAATTGTCTGTAACCATCAATAAAATACACACACAATAGTGTCATTAAAAATTGTTAGTCTATTTTATGGTATATTATGTGTGTGTATGTGTGTGTGTATGTGTGTGTATGTGTGTGTATGTGTGTGTATGTGTGTGTATGTGTGTGTATGTGTGTGTATATGTGTGTATATGTGTGTATATGTGTGTATATGTGTGTATATGTGTGTATATGTGTGTATATGTGTGTATATGTGTGTATATGTGTGTATATGTGTGTATATGTGTGTATATGTGTGTATATGTGTGTATATGTGTGTATATGTGTATATATGTGTGTGTATGTGTGTATGTGTATGTGTATGTGTGTGTGTGTGTTTGTGTGTGTGTATGTGTATGTGTGTATTTTTATTCAATGGACATCAAAAAACAGTTAATTGTGTCCGGTTAGATTAGCATAATTGAGCACGTATAAATTTAGTAATTATTATTATTATATTACTAATGTAGTAATCAACTAAACAGTATTATCATTACCATAGAGATTTCAATTATTATTTTTTATTTATTTTTATTTATTTCCAAATGTATTGTATTTTATTTCAATACATTTGAATTGAATTTATATATAGTATTATATATATATATATATATATATATTTATATATATATATTAGTTAGTAAATTGAACCAATTGTCCAGGCAATTAAATTTATAACAAAAATAATAATAATAATAATAATTAGTATAAATGTTATAAACTAGTAATGTTGTATCACTTTATTTATTTATTTTTGGATTAACAATTAATTTTTATTTATTTAGTAATTTAGTTATTTATTTATTATACTAAACAATAGTCAGTTTTTTTGTAGTAAATAAAAAGTTAACATTTAGGTTTTAATTATTTATTTTTTTGTACTACTAATTATTATTAGTAATTTATATTCATCATTTAAATAAAAACTATTTATAGATAAATTAATTGTTTATTTTTTTTTGATTAAAAATATTATTAATAGTATATTAATTAAAATTAAAACAATTTTTTTTTAAATAAATTAATATTTACTTTTGCAATTAATTTATTTTAATAATAAATTTTATTTTTTAGTTTTATCAAACTGTTATTCAATATATATATATTTTTTTGTTAATATCTATAAAATGTTTTCATAAATTAAATAAAATACAAAAACTAATGTTAGTTTAGACACTATTGAATTAATTGTTATGTTTTTTATATATATTAGTATAAGTGATAGAAACTATAATATTATTTATTTATTTATTTTTTAAAAAAAAATTGCCAGTAATTGTCCTAAAAAAAATTATACAACTAATCAATTAATTTATTACATAAATAAAATGATTAGTAAAGTTATTTTACTGTATCTAATATATCAAATATTATATATACAGTATATATAACATTAAACACAATAATAAACTTTTTTAATAGTTATATATATTGGTTCACAAATTCACATATTAAATCCAAAATCAAAAAATTGAAAATTTGAAAAATTAAATCAAAAATTAATTTTTACAACAATTTTCTACAAAATAAAAAATTGCATATATTTTAAATGCCAGATAATAATAATAATTATAATTATAATTATAATTGTATTTAAAAAAATACAATAATAATAATAATTACTATTATTTTAATTTTTAGTCTTTAATTGTTTACTACTTATTATTGAAACTATTTATATAAATGTTAACTAAAATTATATTATTTTTAATGTGAAAAAAAATTGTTTTAAAATGTTGTTTTTGTTTGTTATCATTAGGTATTGGTTTTTATTATTATTATTATTATTATTATTAAACTTATATTTATAATTATTAATAATTAAATTATTATATTAAAAAATTTTTTTACATATAATGTTATTATAAATAATTGATTACTAATGTATTATTTATAGATATTATAGAAACGGTAAGTGATTTATATATATATATATGATAATTATTTATACATTTATAAATATAATTATAAAAATTACTAAATTTATACTTTAAAAATTCTAATAACTAATACTATAGTATAAAAATATATGATAACAATTAATAGGATATTTCTATTTTAAAATAATTTTCAATTTCAATTAATAATAATAATAATAATAATGTCTAATAATTTTTTTAAAAAAAACTAAATTAATCATATTTATGACATACACACAGTACTTATTATTTAATATTTAAAAAAATATTTTTAATTATTAATTGTTATAATTAAATTGAAAAATATTATATTTCACCTTGACAACAATTTTATTTTTATTATTTTTAAAAATTTTTAATACTATATTCACTAATAATAATATATATATATWTATATATATTATGTTTGCTTAAAAAATAGTTATACAATAATTTCTAGTATTAAATATTATATAATAATATTGTTTAGTATATTATTATATTATATAATACATTGATATTTATTTTGTAAGCGTTTTTATTTTATTTATTTCCGCTATTATATCATATATTATATATATATATATTGGCAACAAATATAACATCATATAAGTTATATTGATATATATATATTGTTTGTTTAGTTACRATATATATATAAACTTTATTTATTTTATTTTTATATTACACACACACACACTTATAGACATAAAAATATCAAATTATATATCAATGATATATATATATATATTAAAAACAAATGATATTGTTTTAAACAATTTTTTTGTTGCATTGATTTCCTATCAATTATAGCATAAAATTTATATATATATATATGTTATTTCAATTATTATTATTATTATTATTATTAAAAACATAAGGTATACGTAATATTATTTTATTAAAAATATTTATTAAAAACCTTATGTTGTAATATATATATATATTTTTTTATTAAAACAATATTATATTTCATTAGTAATATTAAAATCAAAATAAAAAAAATTCAAAGTTTATAATTTCAACAAAAAAAAATTTATTTTGATGTTTTATATTATTATTATTATTATTATTATTATTATTATTATTATTATTATTATTATTAGCACTTAATAAACATTTTTTTTATCCATTTATAATAACAATACTGTATATAAATTTAATATATTATCTATGCTATATATATATATACATTATTTTTGTATATATATAAATATATTTTGAAAAAAATGTTTAATTATATACTAATAATATATTATATATTTAAAAATTCAATGCTAACTACTAAATACACTTTAAAAATACTAATAATAAATTACTAGTAATAACATCTCATATATCAACAAAATGATTAATAATGTTATACTAAAATTTCAATGATTATTATTATATCACTAATAAAATATTAATACGTTTTTATTTTTTTTATTATTAGTATTTTATTTTAGTATTACTAATAATACACTAAAAGTTTTTTTGTGTGTAAATTATAATATTTGAATAGCAAATAGAAATGATATAATAGTTATTTTATTTTTAATAACTACAGTGTAGTTGTATAATAAAAACAACATTTTATTATTTTATTTTATTTTTCATAATTTTTTTTGTTAGTGTTGTAAAACACTTTATATATATAAAACGTCAGTTTATTTTTCAAGTGAATATATATACATATATATATATATATACTTATATACAGTATATATATATATATATATATACACTTATACTGTAATATAATAATTATTTTATTATAGATTTTTTTATATACAAATCAAAACTAGTCGTCAAACCAGTGCTTTTTAAAAACTTATTATTAGTATTATTACTGTATTTTTATTTTTTTTATTAAATATTAAGTGTAAAGTAGTAGTAGTATTAGTAATTGTTATTTTAATAATAATAATATTATAGTAATTAATAAATTAGTTTTTAAAAAAAATTGATTATCAGTATATATATATAGTGTATATATATATATATATATAAAACAACTATTAGTTGATTTGTAATAAATTATTAATAACTAAAAGTGAGATTTTATTTATTTTAAATGTGAATACATATACAGTATATTTAGTTTTATTTTTCACATTTTATTGTTTATATTTTTACTGAAAAAATATATAATTAATTAAATAATTAACATTTCATATATGGCTCTCTCTCTCATTATAAATATATATATATTTATATATCTATTAAACATCAATACTATTAGTGTGATTCACACATAAAAACATTAATTTATAATATAATAAATTATTTTATTTTATTTTTTTGAATTAATATTATTATTAATAGATTATTGATTTGTAATGTTATTGTTGTTTTCATATAATGTTTAAACAGTTTGTGTGTTAATAAAACAAATATCAAAAAAATAAATAATAAAATTAGTTATACATTACATGTTACTAACACATTGTTGTAACCAACATAAAAAAGTATTAAAATAATAATAATAATAATAATAATAATAATAATAATCTATATAATGGTGTTTTAATATATATATATAWAAAATTTTACTATTTTTAAATACATTATTATTTAAAAAAAAATAAAATATTTTCACTTTGACTACAAAAATAAAAAATGTAATGACATTTAAATTTTAATCATTGGGTGTAATGTTATTATTATTATTTTTTTTTGTGTGAGTGTATAGTAAAACTAGTCAATAATAATAATAATAATAATAATTTGTATTATAATAATACAGTATTTAATTTATGTGTGTGTGTGTTAAACCCTATGTGTGATTATTATTATTATTATTAGTTTTTATTATTATTATTTAATAATTCAAAAATAATTATAAAAAATAACAATAAATTTATAAAATTGATATTAAATAGTGTTGTGTCAAACAAACAAAAATTGTAGTATTTTTTGTTGTTATATATTATTAACACAAAAATAAAACCAACAAAAAAATAATAATAAAAAATTATATATATATTATCTATAATTACTAATAGTATTGTTATTAATTAGTATTATTATTATTATTATTATTTAATTTATTAATAATTAAAAAAAATTTGCCAAATATTAACCAAAATTATAATTAATTAATTAATTATGACTGTTAAAGATGCCATATATGTTGTCGTAAGTTATAACTAAATAATATTAATTAATTAATTATTATTATTAATTAAATAAAAAAATAATAATAAATTATCTAAAATCTATAAAAAAAAATTATAATTTTATTTAAAATACTAAATATACAAAAAAAACTATTTTTAAAAATACATTTATTTTTAAACTTATGATCGGAAAAAAATATTACATAATTTTTATTTTAAAAAATTATTTATTTTATTTTGTTTTGTTTGTTATTTTTTGGTTAAAATAAATTAATTTTATTCAAACAATTTATTTATTTTAATTGTATAAATACAGTAATAATTATTTATTTTTTAAAAAAAAATAATAATAATAGCCATAAATCAATTGCTAAATTTAACCCAATTATTTCAAACCAACAAAAAAAATAAATAAATTATTATTATTATTAATATATAACTATTAGATTATTTTTATTACTATTTTTAAACATTATTTTATTTATTAGTTTCATATTATTATTATTATTATTATTATTATTATTATTAGGAGACAGACCTACCAATCCTGAGGGCGGATACCTTTCATACGGCCAACGGTGTCATTAATCCGGCCTTTTTGAGCGAACCGGACGACAGCGAGTACGACCATCGGCAACATTATCATCCGTCTACCGGTACACTAGTCGGTAGTGGTGGTGGTGGTGTGTCCTCAAACACACAGCAAACAAATAGTCTACAACGTTATCCACAGCATCAGCACCGGCAGCAACAGCAGCAGCAGCAGCACAGGTATCCGCACCACTACCTAACCAATCCGTTTCATACATACCATAGCCGACAGTCAAGCAAAACAAGTGTCAAAGACTGTACTAACAATAGTTGCGGACAACCCGGTTGTAGTGCTGGTGGTGTGGGTGTCGGTGGTGTCGACAACTACTATACTACTACTACTACCCATAGTCTACACCGTAATCATAATCCTAATAATCCTATTGGTGGTAATGGATCGTCAATAGCCAGCTCCTGGGTATACGAGTTTAATAGTGGTTGCGGTGGCGATAGTAGTAGTAGTAGTAGCCAACAATCAAGTCCCGGCCAACAATCATCGTCTACTGCTTCAACGGCACCGGTAGGTGGCGAAAGCTATATGATGTCGTCAACCGGCCGAGCCGGAGGAGTACATCATTCTAACGGTGGTGTTTCACTAGTAGTACCGGTGCCGCCGATGCATCGGCCGGCATATCACGGCGGTAGCGGTCATCACTTGACCTATAATGATGGTATGGATATGCCCTACAATGATGTACGCAAAATAGGACAAAACGGTAGTCAAACATCGGGAACGGGTGGTGGTTGCAGTTGTATGCGTGTAATTGTTGTAACATTGATACTACTGTCCCTAATAGGCATCGCCTTGAGTGTCGGTTTTATTATATATATCGAACAAATTGCTGCCACCAATGGTGCTGCTGCTGGTAACGGCACCGGTAGCTCATCAGCATCAGCACCGGTACTACAGGATAGAAGTATAACAGCATATACTACTACTACTACTACAAGTCCTACTAATAATAACAGAGCCATTACTACTACTACTACTAACAAAACTATTGAGAAAGTTATTAATATCCCGACACCGGTTGCAACTACTACTAGTAGTAGTAGTACTATAGCACCGGTATCTCAATCGTTGTCGACATCAACAAAATCATTGGTGAAAACTACTAGATTTACTAACAATAATAGTTCAATGGAGTCACGTATGGCCAGTAATGTCAGCATTGATACCGACATAACAACTACAAGTGCTGCTAATACTACTACTACTACTACTAGACCATCATTTATTATTATGAATGGTAGCACCGGTAGTATACCAGTTAATAACAATAACGAGTTTATGATAACATTACCGACTAATGCTACCAGTTTTGATTATGATGCTTACTATACTAGTACTACAACAACTACCAGTGCCCAAACCAACAACACCAACAATATGATGATAAATGATGGCACAGTAGTCAACAATCAATTGCCAATTACTACTACTACTACTACTACTACACCGATACCGACAGCAACGACAACTATAAATCAAACACTAGTAGCTGCTGTTGTTGTTGGTGTCATGTCATCATCAGCACCAACAACACCATCACAACATACCAGTCCTTCTCGTATGACATCAACTGTCCAAACAGTAGCCGTCACTACAACTACTACTACTACTACTACTAATACAACAGAGGCTCCGATTACTACTACAACTAACAACATCAACACTACTACCGCTACTACTAGTAGTAGTGGTAGTAGTAATACTACCGGTGCAGCAGCTAATAGTGATGAGACAATTGGATGGATAGTATCAAACATCACTACTACTACTACTCCTACTACTAGTAATACTACTACTGCTGCTGCTGTTAGTCCTACTAACGGTGCCAGCAATAGTACAACCATACCTACTACTACTACTACTACTACTCCTATTCCAACTACTACTACAATAGCACCGATAGATACCAATACAACCACTATTGACGACTATTTAGCCGACTATATGTCCGCTACTAATACTAGTAGTACCAGTAATATCGGTAACTTAACAGCCGATGGGGACAGTAGTGTCCGGGCACTGCAGGATGAAAGTATGAGTATACCAATCTAAAACATATATATAAACTACCGGTACCTGTAGTTAAAAAAATACTAGTGTGTGATATAGGATAAGCCATAATTAATAATAATTATTATCAAAAAAAAACGGATATCTATTTATTTAGTCAATTATGTTATTATTATTTAATATTTTTTATATATTATATATCCTATTAAAAAAAATTTTTGTGTTTAATTAACAGTATTATTATTATTATTATAACAGTATATCTAATACATTATTATTTAAATTATTATAAGTTTATTATAGTATTTTTAAAAAGTTTTATATTTTAAGTTTCTATTTGAATATATGAAAAAATTTTTTTTAATAAATTTATAGTTATTATATCAAAATATTTTAATACATATTATTTATGTTTGTGTTTGTGTTATAAATAATAATAATAATTACTTATTATTATTATTTTTTATTTAATTTTATGCTTATTATTTATAGTTTATCCTTAAAAAAATTTATTATTATTATTTTTTTAAAAAATGTTAAAACATTTATTATTTAAATTTTTAATTCATTCAAATTGTTATTTAATAATAATAATAATAATTAATGTTTATATATGTTAAAATATATTAATAACTAAAATAATGTTTTTTTAAAAATGTTGTTATTTTATTATTAAAATTACTATTGATATTATATAAATAATCTCAATAAAAAAACTATTGTTTTTTAAATGAAAATAATTAATACATTATATATATATATCTTAATGTCTATTAATATTGTACACAATATATGTTGTATAATATATATAATATTTGCATTTATTTTTAGTACAGTATTTATTAGCCATATATTTATTATAAAAATAAATGTTATTATTGTTGCCAACAATTATATATACAATATATTAAATTATATATATATATATAGAAATATTTGTAATTAAACAGATTGTTTTAATTATATTAATTAACATAAAAATATTAATTAACTAATTATTATATGTTTTATTAATAAAATGATACGTAAATAACAATTTGTATGTTTATTATGTTTGTTACTGTAGTTGTATTTTTTAAATAAATAATTATAATAATAATACAAAATCTAATTACTAGTGTATGTAATATTAAACATACATTTTATTAATTGAATCATTAATTTTGTTTTATTTAAATATGTATTTATAATATGAGATTATAATATATTAATATAAAATAATATGACATTTAATTATTTAAAAATATATTACTAAATATATATATATACTGTATATGTTGTGCAATAATATGCTATCAAAAAATATATAAATTATTTTAAGCAATTAATTTAATTTGAAATAAATTTTTATTATTAATATATATTACTTTCAAATAAACAAAAAACATTATATTTTTAATTAACATTAAAGTTAAAGTAGAAAATTGTTTAATTTGTTTAATTTAATTGAAATCTCAAAATTATTTCAATTATTATCAATTATTTTATTTAAATTAAATTATAGTGTAATCAACTAATAATAATAATAATAATAATAAATTTCTTAGAAATTTTAGTTTTAAAATAATATTTTCAAAATGCAATACTTTCACTATCGTAGACACTATTTGTTAATTAAAAATATAAACATTTTATATATATATTTAAAAAAAATTGTCTCATTTTTTTCAATAAATTATTTTTTTTTTTGATTTCCATATAACTAGTTATTATATGAAATTTTATTTAATATATTTTATTATTTTTTTTTAAAACGTGATAATCATAATTATATCACATGTACTGTTAACAAAAATATTTTCATATATATAATGTATGTATAGTATATATTTGTTATACACTATATATTTGCAATTATATATATATATAACTTTAAACTAATATATATTTTTTTATTTAAGTACACTAATTAGTCAATGTACTTAAAATTTTTTATTTTATATTATTTTTAGTTTATTTTGCATTTTACACTAAATGTAAATATAGTTATATAAAAATATATTTATTTGATTAAAAATATTTTTATTTTTTTTGCGAAATCACAATTAATTAATTATTTTAATTTTTAAATATATTTTATATATATATTTAGTATTAAGTTTTTCAACAACAAAATATCTCTAATAGTTTTGAATTGAATTAATATTTTTCTATATCACTATTATTTATATTATTATAAATTGTATAACTTTTTAAATATAATGTATATATTTTTTTAATAGTCATATATATATATATATATATATATTATTTACATTATTAATCACCAAAAAAATAAAATTGTCAAATGAATAAATTAAAAATGTATTATTATTTAGTCTATATATATATATATATTAACTATTTTTTTTGTATGCAAAACAATTTAATTAAAATTTATTATGCAATTTTAATGCATGATTTAATTAATGAAATTTAATACATGAATAATAATAATAATAATAAACATAGCGTTTAGTGTTATAATAAATATATTTTTTTATTATTATCATCAAAAATTAAGCGAAAAATTTAATTAACAATAAAAATAGAAAAATATTTTTAAAATCTAATTACTTTATATATTTTTTTTTGAAAAAATGTTTTAAATTATATAGATATTTATTTTCAGGTTATTGTAATGAAAATAATAATCATTTATTTTTAAAAACAATTAATTATTATTTTTTTCTAATTATAATTTTAAATAATTTTTGAATTAATAAATAAATCCTAAAAAAATTATAGTATATTTTTTTGAATAATTTTGTTTAATAGATAAATAAAAATAATACTATATTTAAATATATTATTATAAAATATATATAATTAATTTATTGTATTTGTAAATGTTTGACAACAAAATATAAAATAAAAAGTAAAACCAATAACTATTGTACAATAATTTCATTGTTAATACAGTACTAGTAATAGAAAAAAAATAAATATAATATAATGTAATGTAATTGTAGGCACAATCTGGTGATTAGATAAACAATTATATCATTTATTTTTATTTTTTTTATTATTTAATTTATTTATTTCTAATCTATTAGTCAACGACTAGACTGTCTGTAATTAGACACTTAATAATCATTTGTTTGGAAAAAAATCATTTTTTTTCACTTTAATTTAAATAACATTTTTTTGAATAAAAAAATATAGTTTTATTTTTAAAATTAAATTTGCATAATTAACAATTAATAAAATAAATAATTGATAATTTTTAATATCAAATAATAATTTTTTAGTATATAACAAAAAATTTATTTTATAACAAAAAATTATAGTCATATTATTGTTATATATATATGTATATTAAATACATAAAAAATTATTTACAATAAATATATTATATATATATTGATATTATTTATTTTTTTTGTCTATACCTATACTTCCTAATAAAAAATTTGTTAAATTAAGTTTAAACAAATAATACACACAAATAAAATTATTTACACTTTATATATATATATATATATATATTGTATATAATATTACCGGAAATATCTGGACATTTGTACTCTACTGATTAGTTAATAATAATAATAATAATAATTATTATTATTATTATTATTATTATTAACTTTTTTATTTAATGTTATAATAATAATAATAATTTTTGTTTTATAATATGAACTTTCATATAGAGTTCATACACATGTTTAGACACATTCAGTAAATTCATTGACACTATTGGAAAATTTTCAGGAATTTTGTTGTTATTATTTAATATATATATATATATATATATATTTATATATTGTATATATAAATAACAACAATTTTTTTTCAGTACCATATTTTTTATTAGTATAGTTTATTATATGGTATTTTTTGTTGATTATTATTAGTAGATATTATCAACAATAATAATAATAACAACAAAAATATACTGAATATTTATATCAATATATATATATATATATATATATATGTATATATATATGTATATACAAAAAAAGTGAAAGTTTAATGACTAAACATTTTATTTATTAAATAACTGTATATTTATTAGTTATCTAATAATTTATATATATTTTTGTATATATATATATATATAAATATTAAATATATTTAATACATGTACATGCATACACACATACAGTTATTTTTATTTGTGTGTAAATATATATACATATAAATAATAAACAATAAATACCAGTGTATATACTGTGTATATATATATATATATATTATATATATATATATACTGTATAATAAACTGATTGATTAAGTGACAAACAAATATATATAACTGTATATTATTTTTTGTTACTTATAATTATTATTATTATTTAATAATAAATTTTTTTTGTATGTTTGAAAAAGTGCATTGCTGATATGTTAAAATCATAAAAAAATTTCCATTCAATATTTATATATATATAAATAAATGTAAATACAAATAAAAATAAAAGTTAATTATAATTAATTAAATAATTTTTATTTTGTGTGTTTTGTTTTGTTTATACAAACAAATATATTTAAAAAAATTGATTAATTTTAACATTTATTTTAGCTAACATTAGTAAATATTAGTTTATATTTTATATATATATATAACATAAATATATATTTACAAATTAACTACTAATTAATCAATTTTTTAATTAATAATTTTAATTAATATAATAAATTAAATTTATATTTTTTAAAAATTTATTTTATAGTATAAGATAAAATATTTAAATTAGTTTTTTTATAAATATAAAAATTAGCTAGGTGCAAAGTTCTTTTAGTACAATACAATAATATATATATATATATATTATTTCTATAGTGCATTACACTTTATAATATTTATATATATATATATATATATATTATACAGCTAATTGCTATATATATATTAATAGTTTGAAATAGTAATAATGATAAAATATATAAGTTTTTTATCTATTAATATATAAAAAATAATTCATGTGATTTTTACATTTATATATAATTTATATATATATATATAATATAATTTACTGTACTTTAATCAATATATGTGTGACTTTTTTTTGTAATATTATTATTATTACTACAATTCAATACAACACAACTATAAAAAA